CTTCTGTAAAAGTTGGGTCATTATGAACGCTGGGGGAAAATATAAATATTCTTGCAAATGAATTTCTATAAACATTTAAAATAAGATTCTGAACTAAAACTGTTTTGCCTCCCGTCGAACTCGCAACTATAATACTTCTAAATGGTAATTTTGGCACGTGCTCATATTTGGATTGTTTGAATTCATATTCAGTTATGTTTATTGGTTTTATTATTGGGACATCTGTCATAGTTGATATTAAAGAAATATAGAAAATTATATTTAAAAATTAACTTGTAATTAATATTAAATGGAACATCATTATGTTATGAGTGGCGGTGAATAACATAATGGAACAGGTTTTCCATTGCTTCAATCAATAAGCATTGAAGATAATTAGTTTTGTGTCTTGCTCGCGTGTGCAATGAAAACCCAAGTGCTGTGCCCCACCAATATTCTATTATGCATGAAAATAATAAGATTAATTGTAAATAATTTATCTTATTATTTATATGACCATTATCCATTGCAATTGTGGTAAAACTTATGATGACAAATATTTATTTAAACATCTAACTTCAAAACATCATCAGAAATTTGTAGAATATAGATGGAATAAAGACGATACAATGAAAAAACTTTACAAGAAGAGAAAGGCAGAAATGAAAAATAATTTATCTTATTATTTAATATGAAAAGGAGTTATACAGATTATATTAATATAATAGATGAAGTAGAGAATATAGAACAAGTGATAATAACTGACAATAAAATTAAAAAATGCTGTTTTTATTCATTAGAATTAATAAAATTAGGAATACAATATATCAAAAATAAAAATGTAGATATTAATATAAATGGGAAAAAAGAAAAACAAAAAGAATAAAATAGATACTACAGTTTCTTCAACAGATGAAGAAAAAGAAGAAATTGTTAAAGAAACATCAGTTATTGAGTTTGAGTGTCCTATGTGTAAAAAAATATTACAAACGAAGAATGAATTAGAAATAAAAAATAAGGGTAACTGTAAATGCAGTTGTATACCAGTTGGTTTTAAAATAAGTAAAACAGATAAAAAAATGAATATTGATAAAACCAAGGACAGTATCAATCTAGAAACAGATGCGCATAATATTTCTATCAAATTTGGAAATGAGGCTACACACTCGGAAAATGGCGATAAAGAAACTCCGGAAACTATTAAACAAATAATGAAAATTTAGTATTTAAAGAGTAGATTTTACATTAAATCAATTTTATAAATAAATATTTAAATAAATAATTATATAAATAAATATATATAGAAATGTCTGAAGTTGAGAATGATACTATTGCTGAACTATCAAAGAAGATGATGACAGTTAGTAAAAATGTTAAACTGTTGTACGAGATGATAAAAACTATTGACCAGAAACTTGATGCAAAGGCAAACGAACCAAAAGATAACAATGAAGAGAAGGAAAAGATTGATAAGATCTTTGAAAAGAAAGGGATAGGCAGACCCAGCGGTGATTATGACACGAAGCGTAAAAAATATTGTGATATGTTAAATAAGGGACAAATCAAAAGTCCAAAAGAACAAACATTAGAATACTATAAGATTATTAAGGAAGATGATAAATATGTATATTTCTAAAACATTATCTAAATCATTCTAATAAACAATATGAATTTATTAGAATTATTTAGTGGAACTGGAAGTGTAAGAACCATAGCAAAGTCACTCGGTTATAATGTCATCTCATTAGACTTGAAAAATGCTGATATTAATTGTGATATTTTGGAATGGGATTATAAACAATTTGACAGACACCATTTTGATTTTATTTGGAGCAGTCCCCCGTGCACTGAATACAGCAAAGCAAAAACGACAGGAATTAGGAATATTGAATATGCTAATAGTATAGTTTTAAAAACTATTGAGATTATCAAATATTTTAATCCTAAATATTTTGTAATCGAAAATCCTCAAACTGGATTATTAAAAAATCAGGAGTTTATGAATGAGTTTGATTTTAAAGATGTTGATTATTGTAAATATGGTTTTAAATACAGGAAGCGCGCGAGGTTATGGACGAATATTACTACTTGGACGCCACGCGCATTATGCCAACGAGACTGTGGGAGCATCAGGAACGGCAAGCATGTGGAGACGGCACAGCGACTACCAAGCGGAAAGAAGGCGGACTGGGGCGACTACTACATCATGCACAAGCAGGACGAATTATATAAAATACCAAGTGAGTTGATATTAGAAATCCTAACGGCGATACAGACGAGGCGATACGGTGAGGCGGATTAGGGCGATGCCCTTGATTTATAGCATCAGTTTTATAATATTTATATTTTATATAATATTCCCCTTTTTTCCACCAGTCGCGGAGTGTCGTGCGTCGTTTTCATCACATGGTGCTACCCTTTTTAGGTCGCCCCCTTCCGCGTGAAGATTTGGATGCCGTTGCTCCTGTCATTGGGTCATCTCCTCCTCCTTCGTTGCCATCATCGTCGTCATCATCGTCATCGTCTCCTGTGCCTGCTTCTTCTGTTCCCGCCCCCCGACTTGTAGTAGTTGGCGGTGTTCGAGCACGACGCTTGATTTCATCGGTGATACACTGCATGTAGTCCTTCCATGAGATGTTCCCAAACTCGTCAGCAAATTGACTCATCATAATGAGCTCTGTTGTTGGTATCAACGCATTTGCCCCGGTGGTTACCTGATAACTCGCATCCGCCAGTTGCTGATACCTCCGTTTGAAGAGCTCCCTTGAAATCGCCCTCATTTGCTTGACCTTGTCCTTGCCAGCGCCCGTGTGAATACTAAGCAATGTAGTCAGACCTTTGTCAGAAATACTGCCAAGAAGGGGTGTGAATAGGTTGGGTGTGTCCGCCTCCACCTGTTGCTTGATGCCCTGAATATCGCCTTGCAAGAGCCCCACAACAGAACTGGACACCCCCATATGTTGAACCATTGAAAGGAACGACGCCATACCCTCCAACAAGTTCCTCTTATACTCATCCTCACCGCCGATGTCCTCTGCCTTGCGTTTTTGTCCTCCGCGTTTTCCTCCTCCATGTTGTTGAATGAATGTGCTCGGCGGTGGCAACAAGAGACTTTCAGCACTGCTATCATCATCAGAGGAAGTTAGCACATCGCCCAAATGACTGCTTACCTTACTTCTTTCTTCCGTTATTTCAATGAACGAACTCATTCATTTTAACATAACAAAAAACAAAACACACAAACTTAGACTAAACATGGCAAGATACCACCCACTGTTGGTCATCTTCAACGATACCCAGTGTCTGGATGCGTGCCTTGATGTTGCCGATGGTGTCGCTGGGTTCACATTCTAGGTGGATGGTCTTGCCGGCCAAGGTCTTCACGCATATTTCCATTGCTGGCACCCTACCTTCTTGCTTGTGACTGGGGATTACCTACATCCCCATTTGAGAGGAACGGCAATGATATACACATGTCAAATCAACCCCCTCGAAAACGAATGAACCAGACCTTGCCCGTCTTTCCATAGGTGATATTCCCCCAACAAATATTACACAAAACAAAAACGAATGAACCAGACCTTGCCCATAATATGTCTACAAAATTTGTGATAAAATTTATTGTAAAATAATTTATCATAATTTTTGGAATAATATTTTTGAAAAAATTGTAAAATTATATTTTGTAAAATTATATTATTATTATTTTGTAAAAATTATTTTTTTTTGAAAATTTATTTTGTAAATTTTTGTAAAATTTATTTTTTAAAATTATATTATTATTATTATTTTAAAATTTATTTTTTTATTTTTTTAATTTTTTTTTGTAAAATTTATTTTTTAAAATTTATATTTTAAAATTTATATTTTTAAAATATGGATGAACTTACTAGGAAATTACCTGCTTTGAAATGTTGATTTTTGAAAATGTGCTGTTTGAGGTGCTGTTTTAAAATGTTGCTAAAAGTGTGGGGGGGGTCCTGGGGTTTTTTATAGAAAAAAGACGGGCAAGGTCTAGTCTAACTGCGTGATGATGACAGAAATCCCGCTACTTAGCAAATATGTGATATGTGTTCAAAACTTTGTTGGCTCCCCAACTGACCTTGAACCCCAGCACAAATTCCCGTAAAAGGAGCGCTCCATTATTGAACTCTGCCATAACTGTTTTGCAGCTTGTCTTGCAATGGTACTCATATGTACCCTGCCTCGCAGTGTCCTGTAAGGGCATGTTCGTTCGAGCCCATGTTTTTCGAGGTGCGGCGAGGTGAGCCAACAAGTGGGGGTCCGAACGGGAGCACCCTTCCGCGAGGTGGAGCTAAACGGTTTGGCGAATTGCTGGGTCGTCCCCGGTACTCCACCAAATCCCAGGATTGGAAAAACAAGCTGGGAGCTAATGCATGCGCCGAAACTCGGCTTCGCAGGAAGGTTGTGTTTATTAGATACAGAACTGCCCAGGCTCTGACTGGACAAGTGGTGATTCATGATAACTTGATGAGTCGTTTGCCTCTGCCGACGATCCATCACTTGATTGCGGGTCCACTTGGCTGGTTAGCCTTGTTCGATTCATGGAAGCTGACAGAATGGTTTTGGAATATTATAGTCCTCTTGGAATGGCCCCCTGTCCACTTTCATTCTGATGGAAACCTTACTTGGGTTTACTGGATTTTCAACCCCAGGCACGACCTTTTCAAATTCGGCTTTCGTAGAGTGAATGAGCCAGTTCATGTCGCCGTTGCAACTCGTTGAACATCAACACCTAAGACGAAGAACTTAAGTTTCGAAAGACCCCACCTATCGCGACAAAATTGAAAGACGAACATGCGACCCAACGAGCCGGTTTTACAGAAATATTGCTTTGGGGGACGCCCTTTTCGGGTCCTATGCGAATTTGCAGGGCGAGTAAGCAAATGGGAAGATTCCCTCAGCACCAGCCAGGGCCAATGGATGGAGAGCATGCGTGTACAGGGAAATTGAACCTTTCGCCCCAAACATATCCCTTTCACCTCTGCTTCATGGGCCAGGCGCCCGGCACCCCGGCGAGCGGCGGCGACGGCGACGCCGCCGGGGCCGGGGCCTCCTTCGGCGAGTGGCCGGCGCCGTCCGCCGGTACCGGCTTCGGTCGGAACGGCGCGGACGGGGACGGCGCGGCGGGGGAGTGGCAGCCCTGGCGCCTTGGCGGAAACGGCGACAAGGCCACGGCTCTTCAACCAGAACACAGAGTTGCGCAACATTGTTTATTTTTCATTAATATGCACATTATTATTACCACCATTATTATTATTACTATATTATTGTTTTAACTTTTCTTAGTATCTATGATGCTTATTATTATTATTATTATTCTTATTATATTTACTGGGCCACTAAGGGCGTGAGTGTGCTTTCTGTTTCTGTTTGTGTGCGTTTGCGTTTGCGTCTGTGACTGTGACAGTGTCTGTGTCTGTGTTTGCGTGCATGCGCGCGCGTGCGTGCGTACAAGGAAACTTTTGCAGGACTTTGCCTTTTGTTTGCAGGCATGTTCTATGTTTTCCCCGTAACGGGGGGCAGGGTGCATCGGGTCAAGGGAAGATCATTTGAGTTTAGAGGGGATGACATATCCACTAGACGTTTAGCTTTAGGTGTCGCTTCGATTTCCTGAGCAAGCAAAGGGTGTGAACTGCCCAAATGACTGGGGTTTGCTGGGTTTGTAATCCTATCCCCTTGTCCATAGGCGAGCGGTCGAGGTATGCCAATTTCCCGACAAAGGGATGAAATCGTATTTCCCGTATTTTCCTGCTCCCCTTGTGTTTTGGGGTGCTAGCATCTCTTTCGCCAGCACGAAGTAATGGCCGCATTAAGATTAACAGCCATTCGTTCTTTACGGGCAGCTTTTTGTAAGATGGGATGAGCCCAGACCCCATGTGTTTGTTTGTGCTGTGTTCGCGGGGCTGACATTTTGAATGAGGAGGCACTACCAAAAGAAGGTCAGCCAAGCACCAGGTGGTCCGACCCTTCACGCAGAACGGTCGAACGTCACTTGCCAACACAGCTTCTTGCTTCTTTTATTTCTTTCTTTCTTTTGTTAAGGGGGTGGGTTTCAGGGGGTGGGCCCCCTTATAAAAAAATACCCGAAAAAAGACCCAACAAAAAGACCCAAAAAAAAGCCAAAAAAAAGGCCCAAAAAAAGGCCCAAAAGGCCCAGAAGACCCATAAAAAACGAGGAATCAGACCCAGACGAGTCCCAGGCCCAGCGGCTTCGGGTCCTTTGGCTTCGGCGCCTTTGGCGCCGGGGACGCCGGCGGCGGCGTGGACGGCGCCGGCCTCGCGCCGAGACGCACCGGTCGCGTCGCGCTTGTCGCGTCCGCTGGACGCTTGGGGTGAGTCGGCGGGCTGAGTTTTCGCGGTTGGTTTGGGGGGACATACATATAGATATATATATATATGTATACATATACATATATATATATGTATATACATATATATCTGTTCATGCCAAAATACATAAACCTGAATGGTTGTGCTGTAGGGGACACCCTGGGAGTTTCTTTTTGGACACGGTTGAGGGAAAGGCGTGATAGGCAGATACCAGGAAGAAATTCACAAGTTTTTGTGGAGACTCCCCATGTCCCAAACCCGAAATGGCCCAGCAAACTTCTGATTCATCCAGAGGACTCTGGGAAGTTTCCACTTTGTCAAACCTGGCGAGGGTCACATGCAAGAGTTCCCAATTATTCCCAGCAAATGACTTATGACTTCCCCATATCAGCATGAACACCATTAGCTCTAGGTTCATGTTGATTGAGGGTCCATGCCATATGAGGTTCGGTCCAAGTCTTGTATATTTATTGTCAACTTCATTAAAAAAAAAAAAAAAAAAACTCTCTCAGAGGGGACACACCCCTGAATAGTCAGACACACAGTGCTATCCCAGGATTCATAAGCCCTTTGGCCCAAACTGGAGGGGGGGGGTCTGGGTGCCCACGTGAGAGCGCCTAGTTGACTTCATTTACATGGAGATTTCAAGCCATTTTGAAAAAGGTTCCCTGTTTGGAATCATAGCCAGTTGCGCGTGTCTTTTTGATCAGCCCCCCCCCCCAAAAGAAGAAAACACACACACACAAACAAAAAACAAACAGAATGGTGGTCATCCTTGTGCTTCGCCTGTACAACCCGTCCGAATAGGGGGGTCCCCCAACAGACTCACCCAGTTGCCTTTCCCCAGCCGCCAACTTTCGAGCCCTCCGGTTGGCTTTTGATCGGGCGCTTCCGGATCCTCAGGCGATGCGGTGTCCGAGCATGAGGAGCCAGGCGGAAGTGGTCACATGAGTCCTGTAGGAATGCCCGCTTTTTCTTGTTCTTTTTATTATTGTTATTCTTTTTTTTTTATGACACAATTAGAAGGGTCCTCAAAAATTACCGTTGTTTTGCTTTTCTAACACAATTTGGAGGTCCTCAAAATTACATTTGGGGGGTGGTTTCCCTTCAACTGGAAGTTTTATTGCGGCCCAGGGGGCTTACTGGGGCGGGCCCAAGGTCACGCAC